CCCCAGGGCCAGGCCACCCCGGGGCTTGGTGCTGCCCACTGTCCCCACCACCTCCACCCTCCTAAGGGCAACCAGGACTTGGCTGGCGGAGGAGCCCTGCACCCCAGGGGCCAGGATGCTGGTACCCACCATGAGCGCGTCCTCACGGTTCCACATGAGGGAGAGACCAGCGCGGGAGTAGACCTTGGTGTAGGCCTCATTCTTCTCGATGAGCAGCCCAGAGCTGTAGTGTGGGGTGCTGACCCTGCGGGGGCACCACAAGTCACTTGCCAGCGCCTGGCCCCGGGCCCACCCTTCTTGTCCTCTCGGGGTCCTGCTGCCCAGAGGGCACTGAGGCTGGGTGCGTGGTGGGAGATGGGGGATAGCTGCTGGCCAGGCCTCACACTGGGGCCACAAACAGACTTGGCCAGGCCCCGGGGGCACATGAGAACACCTCTTCTGGGCTGGCCAGGTTCCTTGGGGCAGGACCAGCTCAGACTGCTCATCTCCTTTCACACTGTGGGCACTGTCCTGGCCAGGGCCCTCCAGGACCCCCGAGAGTGGGGGGAGAAGGAGGCCAGGCCACCCACCCCCCTGCCAGGCCCTCTCTCAGTCTGCCTGGGGCGGGGCTTCAGCCCCCACCCACCCCACCACCCCAGACAGTCTTGATGCCCTCGGGGACCCAGGCCGGGCACCTGCCTCACCCAGGGGCCCTCCTGCTCTCCACCGTCATGACCCAGGCCGGGCAGGGCAGGCAGGGTAGGAGCTCAGCTAGAGTCTAGGGTAGGAAACAGAAGCCCGGGAGCAGGAAGAGGGCAGGCCCGCAGGTGGGAACCCGCTGGACAGGAAGACATTTAAGAGGGCCTCATTGTCCCAGAGACAATGAGGGGACAATAGCTAGCCAGGGTGGGCAGCTCCTGTAACTCTACCCTGGGGAGCAGCTCTGGCAGCCTCCAGGCACCCCAGGCCAGGACCACTGGCCAGCTCCAAGGGGAGGGACAGCTAAGGGCTCCCAGGGTGAAGACTCCTGCCAACCTCCAGGGGCCTCAGCAGTGTGTGCGGAGGGAACTGTGACCCGAGTCCACCCTCAGGGCCTTCCCCCTGGCCACCAGCCGGAGCAGCCAGGCCTCACAGGGGCTCTCTAGACCACAGAGCCCTCCCCAGGCTCCGGGATGGACGCTGCCCAAGCCCACTCACATGGCCCCATTCACCACAACCAGTTGGTGGGTGAGGTAGATGGTGTCATCCTTGACGGTCAGCAGGATGGACTCCACCTGAGGATGGCCCCCGCCCTGGCCCTGGCTGCGCTTCAGGTGCACGGCAAATTCCTTGTAGGAGTCTCGGCAGTCGGAGGCGAAGTTGTAGTCACAGAGGCCGGGGAAGCGGAAGACGTCCCCGTCGAAGGTCTTGTAGTGGAAGTCACCCCAGGTGCTGCAGACGCTGTGACCATGGCTTCGGGGTCTGGCCTCTGTGGGGACCGTGGGGGCACGGGGTGAGCCACCCAGGCCCAGGGAGTTCTGCCCCCGTCCACCCCAAGCTGGCCCCAGAGGTAGCCATGTCCAGAAGGCCCCCCACTGCAGGAGGACCTCTGAGGCCTGGGTCACGGCCCGGGGTCTCAGCCCCAGGAGCACATCTCCGGCTGCTTGGCCTGGGGTGCGACCCACGGGCGGTGAGGGCCGGGGGACTGTCAGGTACCCTGGTCACTCTGTCCACCTGGTGCAGAGCCCTGATGGAATGGAGGTTCCCTAGTCTTTTTGGCTGAAGTGACCCTTCACCAGGTGGACACAGCCCGTCTTCAGAGGTGCTGCCCAGGCCTTGACCCGCCAGGGCTGTCCTGGGACCCCACACCCCACACCTCGGAAGCACCCCTCAGGTGTCCTGCTGATCTTCCACTGGGCGTGGGGTCCCCTGGGCCCCTCTGGCCAGGCTCTCAAGCTCAGAGGGACAGCAAGGGCCGCAACAATTCATCCAGGCAGGAGCTACTCTGGTTGTCCAGTGTACGCAGTCCAGCGGATGCCAGGCAGAGGGACCAGCCCACTCCCAGGCGCTGTGCCTGCCCCTGGATGCCTGGCCTTCCTGTCCCAGCACTGTCTGCCCATCCCCTCCACCTCACCGGGCTTCTCACCTCTCTGGAGCTCAGAGCCTCCAGCCAAGGCCAGGGCCAGGCAGACGGCCACTAGGCGGGCCAGTCGCAGCCCCATGGCGGCTCTGAAGGGCACTGTGGGAGAGCACCCCGGCCTGGAGTCTGGGACTTATATGCCCCAGTGGGCCGTCAGAGGGCGGAGGGCAGGGGAGGGGCAGAGGGTGGGGGCGTTGGCCAGATTATCAAGAAAACAGCTGTGGGGGCTCGGGGGACCACAGTGGGAAAATATTGATTCAGGTTATCTGCCTTTATCTTTTTATGACTCCCTGGGCAAACTCGGCCATCCTCAGGATGCAGCAGCCCAGTTACCCAAATGCAGAACACACCCAGGGCGACCCTCCCACCCCTCCCAGCCACCAGCGGACCAGGCCCAAGGGGACAGGTAGGGGCTTTCCCAGCGGAAGCGTGTCCTGGCAGACTCTATGGGCCCACTCAGCCCTCAGACCACAGTCCAGTGCCTCCCCCGCCAACAAAGTCCAGGATGAACAGGGGCTTTGGGCTGGAAGATCCATGACCAGCATTTACCAGCCTCTTTCATTCCCAGGTCCCCCCTCCTCCCCAGGCAGTGTGGACTGAGGTGGCCACAGGTCCCCAAAGACCTCAGGCCTTCGTCACCCCAGGGCAGCCAAGCCCACCCATCGGGGGTCCAAACTCTGGGGAGCGGGCAGGACCTGGCCACCTGTACCTCCCCGTGGGCAGGCAGCCTGTGAGCTCCTGTGGGGCTGGGGTCCACCCCGCTGCAGGGGGCTCTTCGCCTGCGTGAGGGCCCAGCTCGGTCCCTCCCTAATCCCCCCGTTTTCCTAGCCTAAGCCAGTCTCTGGAATTACATGAAATTAGACCTTGGGGAGCACCAGTCCAGCCAGGGACACGTGCCGGAACCCGGTCCCCTGGAGCATGGAGGAGCTGGCTCAGTGCCTGGAATGACTGTCCCCGAAGGAATGAGGCCCAGGTAGGGAGGGTGCCCCCGCAGCAGGCCTGCCCTCGCAGACGCCCCCGCCTGCTGCTGCTCCCCCGGGGATGCATGGGGACAGGGGTCTGGGGGGCAACCTGCCCAGGCTCCCCTGGCCAACCTCATCAAGGCAGTGGATCCGGCTCCAGGGAGGACAGTGGCCTCTGAGGAACCTCGGGCTCTCTGAGCCAAGCCCAAAGCTGGACATTGGCTCAGCACTGCCTGGAACCGTGGGTAGCCCTTGAGCCTACACCAGCCCCAGACCCCAACCCACCGAGGGGCCGGCTCTCGAGGCCACAGAGAGGGAGAGGCACCCACTGGCACCCCCCCCCCCGGAGCAGGAGATAAGCTGGAATCTGGAGCCCCTCCCTCACTGCATGTCCATCCTCCTGAAAACAGACCATCCTGAATTCAGTTTCAGAGTTTGGCCGGTGCTCACAGTGGGCTCAAGGCAGCCTCAGATGCCATCGGGGTCCTGAGCTCCGGAAACAGTGGGAGGGATCCGTCTGCTGGCCGTGGAGGAACCGGCCACACTGCTGCCCTGGCCAAGGCCCACACAGGTGGGGACCTGGGCTAGAGGGGAGCCCTTGTAGGGCCAGACTTTCTTCACCACCAGCGTCAGAGCCTGTGTTCTGAGGCCCCCTCACTCTCAGGCCTCTAGACCACGACAGGAGGGACCCTCAGGCCATAGGGACAAACAGGACCGGAGTGGAGTCCTTGCACTCCAAGGGTGCCAGGGGCCTAGGAGGAAGCCCCTCACCTGGCCCCACTGTGCCCACTAGTTCCGGCCTGGGGTCCATCCTCTCAGCCAGGGCTTGAGCGCAGGGGACGCTGAGTGTGTGGCCTGGGTAGGATTAGGGAACTGAGCTGGCTGATGGGAACACTATTGTACCACTTCCCTGTCTAGGCTGTACCTGCTGGCACCAAGCCCTGAGGGAACCCAAGCAGTGACCCAAGGAGCAGTGATTTTCCATGCCAGGCTTTCTCTGCTTTGGAAGGGACTAGGTGGGCCCTCCCTGTATAGAGAAGGTGGTCCTCCCTGATGGAGAAGGTGGTCCTCCCTGATGAGAAGGTGGGTCCTCTCTGATGAGAAGGTGGATCCTCCCTGATGAGAAGGTGGATCCTCCCTGATGGAGAAGGTGATCCTCCCTGATGGAGAAGGTGGTCCTCCCTGATAAGAAGGTGGGTCCTCCCTGATGGAGAAGGTGGTCCTCCCTGGTGGAGAAGGTGGTCCTCTCTGATGAGTAGGTGGATCCTCCCTGATGGAGAAGGTGGTCCTCCCTGGTGGAGAAGGTGATCCTCCCTGATGAGAAGGTGGTCCTCCCTGTATAG